TGCTGTGCTCATTCAGCTCCACACCTTGTTATCCCACACCTTGTTATCCCACACCTTGTTATCTCAGACCCCAGCATCGGCAGTTCCTCCTAACCCCAAAGGGTATCATCTGTCTTTTGAGACCTCTCTCTGGACAGGGAGCTTGTAGAGTCCACCACTGGGCTAGGTACTTCCCATCACAAGTTGATACCTCAGGGTATACAATGCCTCATAGACACTGGGAACAACAACCTGATTTATTCAGAAATGTTGCTTTTCCTTTTGGTACTGATTTTCACATCTTTTAGTGTGGGTTATAAGATTTGGGGTAGGTGCAAAAAACGAAAAATGTCTCTCAGAAATTGAATTTGTTTGTTCTGAGATTTTATCCTGTACAGACAGTGATGATGTTTGTAAATATTTCACAGAGTAATAGAAAGAAAGACATTGAAGATGGGAGAGTCAAATCAAACACTATGTCAAGATCCAACCGAGTTATTCAATTCATCAGGACCAGAAGGGAATATGTTTATGTGGTATGTCTGTGGGAAAAGATTTCAAACATCAGTGTGAGTGGTAAAGCGCCAACACTCACACACTGACACACCTGATTCTGAATGTTCCAGTGAACTAACTGCAGAAATTATTTAACATCATCCAGTTAACATTCTGAAAAAAAAAAAATCCACAGAGCAGAGAAACTGGACACACATTGTGTTTATGGACAAGGATTCAACAGATCATCCAATCTGGAGAGATGCCAGGAGATCAGCATTATGGAATAACCGTGGAAATGTGTGGATTGTGCGAAGGGATACAAATACCCAGGCCAGCCGGAAGTTCACCGTCATAGTCACTCCAGGGAAAGACCATTCACCTGCTAAATGTGTGGGAAGGGATTTGCTCAGTCATCCAGTCTCATGTAAACTAGCTCAGAATATAAAAACAGGCAGCAAAAGTTTCTATAAATATGTAAATTGCACAAGAATGGCGAAGATAAACGTTGGTCCTTTAGAGGATGTGAAGGCCAATTTAATAACTGGGAATGAGGAAATAGCCGAGATATTAAACAGTTATTTAGTGTTGGTCTTCACAATGGAAGACACAAATAACATGCCGAAAACTAATGGCAAGATGGTTATAGCAGGCGAGGACCTAGAAAGTATCATTATCACTAAGGAGGCAGTGCTGGGCAAGCTAATGGGGCTAAAGGTAGACAAGTCTCCTGGCCCTGATGAAATGCATCCCAGGATACTAAAAGAGATGATGGGGGAAATAGCAAAGGCACTAGTAATTATTTTCCAAAATTCACTGGACTCTAGGGTGGTTCCCGCAGATTGGAAAACAGCCTATGTGATGCCACTGTTTAAAAAAGGAAGTAGACAAAAAGCAGGTAACTGTAGGCCAGTTAGCTTAACTTCAGTTGTGGGGAAAATGCTTGAATCTATCATTAAGGAAGAAATAGCAAGACATCTGGATATAAATTGTCCCATTGGAAACACCAGCATGGGTTCATGAACGGTAGGTCATGTTTAACTAATTTGGTGGAATTCTTTGAGGACATTACTTGCATGGTGGACAATAGGGAACCTGTGGATGTGGTGTATCTGGATTTCCAGAAGGCATTTGACAAGGTGCCACACCAAAGGCTGCTACATAAGATCAAGTTCCACAGCATTACTGGTAATGTATTGGCATGGATAGGGGATTGGTTGACCAGTAGAAAACAAAGAGTAGGGGTAAATGGGCGTTTTTTTGGTTGGCAGTCAGTGGCTAGTGGTGTGCCTCAGGGATCAGTGTTGGGGCCGCAATTGTTTACAGTTGACATAGATGATTTGGAGTTGGGGACTGAGTGTGGTGTCTCAAAATTTGCAGATGATACTAAGGTGAGTGGTAGAGCAAAGTGTGCAGAAGACACTGAAAGTCTGCAGAGGGATATAGATAGTCTAAATGAGTGGGCAAAGGTCTGGCAGATGGAGTACAATGTTGATAAGTGTGAGGTCATCCGTTTTGGTAGGAATAACAGGAAAATGGACAATGTTTTAATGGTAAAAAATTGCAGCACGCTGCTGCGCAGAGGGACTTGGGTGTCCTTGTGCATGAATCACTAAAAGTAGGATTGCAGGTGCAGCAAGTAATTAAAAAGGCAAATGGAATTTTGTCTGCCATTGCTCGAGGAATGGAGTTTAAAAACATGGAGGCTATGCTGCAGCTGTATAGGGTCCTGGTGAGGCCACACCTGGAGTACTGTGCGCAGTTTTGGTCTCCTTACTTGAGAAGAGATACACTCGCACTGGAGGGGGTGCAGAGGAGATTCACTTGGTTGATTCCAGAGTTGAGAGGGTTGGATTATGAGGAGAGACTGAGTAGACTGGGATTATACTCATTGGAATTCAGAAGAATGAGGGGAGATCTTATAGAAACATATAAGATTATGAAGGGAATAGATAAGGTGGAGGCAGGGAGGTTATTTCGACTAGCAGGTGAAATTAGGACGAGAGGGCATCACCTCAAAATAAATGGAAGCAGATGTAGGACTGAGGTCAGGAGAAACTTTTTCACCCAAACGGTTGTGAATCTGTGGAATTCCCTGCCCAGTGAAGCGGTTGAAGCTACCTCGCTGAATGTTTTTAAGGCAAGGCTAGATAAATTTTTGAACAGTAAAGGAATTAAGGGTTATGGTGAGTGGGCAGGTAAGTGGAGCTGAGTCTCAAAAAGATCAGCCATGATCTTATTAAATGGCGGGGCAGGCTCGAGGGGCCAGGTGGCCTACTCCTGCTCCTAGTTCTTATGTTCTTATGTTTTTATGTCACACCAGTGGGTTCATACTGACAAGAGACCTTTTAAATGCTCTGACTGTGGGAAAAGCTTTGGGAGCTCTAAAGGTCTAATTCAATATCGACCTGTTCACACGGGAGAGAATTTGTTCAGCTGTTCCACATGTGGGAAGGAAATCACTTGGAGATCCAGCCAAATGTCGCACAAAAGTCTTCACATAGAAGGAAGCTTCATGTACTGTGTCTGGGAAGTGATTGAATTCATGGCCCAGCCTAATGTCACACAATCGAGTTCACACTGGAAACATCTGCTATGTGTGTCGGAGGGGATTCATGTCTTCATCTATTCTAATGTCCATAATCAGGTCACATTGGAGAGAAATCTTTTACCTGCCCTGTGTGTGGGAGGGGATTCACATCATCATTCAGCCTAAGGTCACATAAGCCGTCTCACACTGGAGAGAGACTGTTCATCTGCTCTCAGCGTGGGAAGAGCTTCAGTCAGTTTAGTCAGTTATCCAGCCTCAGTAAACATCGATGTGTTCACAGTGGGGAGAAGCCATTCACCTGTTCCATGTGTGGGAAGGGATTCACCTGATCTTCCCGCCTCACTTATGACAGGCTTGTCACACTGGAGAGAGACCATTTGTCTGCTCAGTGTGTGGGAAGGGATTTATTAAATCAGCACAGCTTCTGATACACCAGCGTGGTCACATTAGAGAGAGACCGTACACCTGCACTGAGTGCGGGAAGGGATTCACTCGGACATCTGATACTCAGTGAGCACCAGTTATTCACACTGGGGAGAAACATTTTACTTGCTCCGTGTTTGGGAAGGGATTCACTCGGCCCTCCAATTTCAGCGGACATGGGCGTATTCACACTGATGAGAGACCATTTAAATGCTCTGACTGTGAGAAGATCTTTAGAAGCAGCAATGATTTGGTGAAACACCAGCAAACCCATTCTGCGGTGATCCGTCATAATTCAGTGATGTGACCAATGGGAAGAGCTGGAGGACCGGAAGCATTCTGGACCTCCAGCCAATCAGAGCCCCCCAGTTGGCAAAACGCGAATGTGGGACAATCAACTTCCGAAGCTGCTAATAGCTGCCAAGAAATGCTGTTGCTCCTTTCTCTCTGAATGAAGATTGATCTTCACCCAGACTGATATCTTTGAGAAAACAATTTATCCCGATTTCATTTTTTTTTAAATTCTGGTGTGAAACGATTTACTTGCAGCAGCTGAAAGGAAAGGAAGTGAACCCAGGGAAGGAGTGGAATCTGTCCAGACAGAAGTGATGGTCAATCAGATTTAATTGTTTTGACATTTTAACCTTAATTTCTAATCTAATAGTAATAATAATCTTTTTGCAGGATGTTAGAAATGGAAGATTTTCAGACAGAAATCTCAAAACAACCATCATGTAAAGATCTAATGGAGCCACTGAAATAAGTCGCACTTGAATATCATTGGCTTGAAACCATAGATCAAGAAATGTCTATCTGGTTCAAAAGGTTTGAAACAACAGTTTGTCTGGAAAAGTACTGAGACATATATACCCAACTGATACACCTTCACTACCTTCACCGAGTCTCAGAGCTGAAAGAAACATCACACCATTCACAGTAGGAACTTACAGAGACACAAGACCTCCTATAATATGGAGAAACCATGGAAATGTGAGAATTGTGCGAAAGGATTCCATTCCTTGTCAGTGCTGGAGTTTCATCAATGCAGTCACACAAGGCAGAGACCATTCACTTGCTCTGAATGTGGGAAGGGATTCCCTGATTCATCTGCTCTGTGGAAACACCAATGTGCTGCCACTGGAGAGAGGCCATTCACCTGCTCTGAATTTATTTTTATTCATTCATAGGATGAGGGCATCGTTGGCTAGGGAGCATTTATTGCCCATCTCTAATTGCCCAGAAGGCAGTTCAAAGTCAACCACATTGCTGCAAGTCTGGAGTCACATGTGGTGCAAACCAGGTAAGGATGGAAGTTTCCTTCCCTAAAGGACATCAGTGAACCAGATGGGTTTTTCCAACAATCGACAATGGGTTCACAGTCATCATTAGATTCTTAATTCCAGATGTTTATTGAATTCAAATTCCACCATCTGCCGTGGTGGGATTTGAACCTGCGTCCCCAGAGTGTTTATCTGGGTCTGTGGATTAACAGTCTAATACCACAGGCCATCACCTCCCCAATGGCAATAAATTCCGCGAATAATTCACCCTGATGAAACACCAGTGCGTTCCCACTGGGAAGAGGGCATCTACTTGTTTGGAGTATAGTAAAGTATTCACTCAGTTATCCAGCCTGCACATGCATCAACCAGTTCACACTGGGGAGAGGCCATTTACATGCTCTGGTTGTGGAAAAGAATTCACTCAGTCATCTGCCCTCGTAAGTCACCAGCACATCCACACAGGGGAGAGGCCATTCAAATGCTCCAAGTGTGGGAAGAGGTTCAGAGATTCATCTGGCCTACAGGTACACCAGCGAGGCCATACTGTGGAGAAGGCATTCATATGTTCTGAGTGTGGGAAAGGATTCATTCAGTCATCCAGTCTGTTGAAGTATAAGAAAGTTCACAAATGGTCATAAGAGTTGGATCTGCTGTTAATCCGCATTATATGTGCTGCTATACAGCACATTGCAAACACACAGCATCTACTGTCTTGAAAAACAAGTGAAGCAGTTACATGGGACAGTTAGCAGCTGCATGCTGTTCTGCGTACTGCACACCATTCTCATTAACAGGATGTTAGAAAGGGAAGATTTGCAGACAGAAATCTCAAAATGACCATCACATGAAGATCTAATGGAGTCAGTGAAATAACTGGGACTTGAATATCATAATCTTCAATATTGGCTGTTCCTTTACTCTCAATGATTCAAAATTTTTCTCCGAAACAACATTGTGAGTGACCCTACACCTCAAAAACTGCAGTCCCAGAAACCACCATCTTCTTAAGGAGGACAACTGGGATCGGCAATAAGTTCTGACCTAGATATTTATACTATACCCCATGAATTGATTTGAAAATGAGGGAAAATCACATCCAAGACTGAGCCATGCTCATTCTGACAGTGAGTAAAGTGGGACGGTCAGAGGGTTTCTTTCTGCTGGCTGGCCGCTCTCACCACTTTGCTTCCAGTGAGGCTGATGGTCTTTGAGCCTGGGAATGCACATTCCCAAGGAAATGATCCCCAAAAGCTGATGAAGTAAATTTATTTTGTCCTGGATAGGAAATGATGTTTTCCTCACCACTCCAATTAGATCAGAAGTAAATATGTTTGTCTTTGTTCCATTGAGTCTCCAGCCCAATCAACTCAATTAGTCTCCATCAGTATTTATGCTCCACATCCTCCCCTTTTGTCTCCCCCATCAGCAGATCCTTCTATTCCTTTCTCCCTCACGTATGCATCCAACTTCTTAAATATATTCCTCTGTTCACCTCCATCTCACGCTCTTGGAGTGAAATGCACATTCTGACCTGTTGCAGGGTAAAGAGGTTTCTCATGAAATCACTATTGGATTTTTAAATCCCTTCATCATTTTAAAGGCTTCCATCAGATCATTCTTTATTCTTCTCTTTTCTAGAGAAATGCTCCCCAGACTTGCCTGGGGGTTACATGTTTTCAGTTCTGATGATGTCTTTTTGAATCTGTGTGACACATTTCCAGTGCCTCTATTTCCTTTGTACAAATGGCAATGACAAATGTTGACAGTGCTCCCAGTGAAGTCAAACTTTGGTTTCAAATAAGTGAAGCATCATTTTCCTCCTTTTCAATTCTATCTCTGTAGAAAGGAGTCCAAATATGGGCTGTGCCTTAGCAGAAAGATGTTAAGTTCCTAGAAAAGTTTGAGACTGGAATTGCAGGACTTCAATTAGATTGAGAGACTGGAGCAGTTGATCCTTTGGATGCTCGAGTCATTGTTGTAGAACAAAGAGAGAGACCATTCAGCCCTCTGAGGTCATGTTGGCTCTGTTTAGAACAAAGTTAGTCATTGTTCAATCCCAACAACCCTGCAAGTTTATATGCATGAAGGAACCTCCAATTCTAAAAAGGAAGTAATGAATATATTGTTCAGGATGATAAACGAACTGGAATACTTAATTTCAGGTGTAGTTCAGGAGAACCTTGCAATCTAGTATCCACCTATGTTGCAGTTAAAACCTGGAATGTTGAGCTGATTTGAATAAGTTGATATCTTTCCTTGGCAATAATTACATTTTGTTTTTGTTTTAATTTTGTTTTAGGAAACCGCAGTTGATAATCTGGTCACTACCTGACAGATCAGCACCACATGGGAAGATATTGAGACAGACATCCATTATGATAAATGCACCTGAATGTTAATATGTGCCATGATGTCGGGCTATCAGTGGATGTGCAGATATAATATGTTATATCTGAAAGAAATGGCATGTAAATTCATGGTGAACCCGCACTGCAGAGAGGGTCCCAAACACATGCAACTCCTTGAGAAACAGCCGGACATGAAATGGTTAATGTGGCCGGGGGTAACGAGACAGCATTGTGACATCATCAAGACAGTGACACGTTCTCCCGAGAGAAACTGACCTGAAACAATCAGGAGAGAATTCAACCCACAGGGAATGGTCAGAAAGTCAGTGAGGTTCATTAGGAAGGGGTTAAAAACTTAGATTGGGATAATCAAGAACTGTCCACATTTTGGACACAGACAAATAAAAAGATTGGAGAATCTTTACACCCATATTTGATCTGTTGCTTGAAACTCATGTATCTGTGTACGAGTAATTTATAAACTCATGGCACTCCTCAGGAGAAGAACAGGTCAAATTGATGTGACCCCAGCAGGGGCCAGGACAGAACTGGAAAATAACAAAGTGCAAATGATAGAGGGGTGATAAAGAGAACCACACCCTTTCTGCAAGTGGTCTGTAAATATGCTGTTCTGGTTTTCTTGCTAATTAGCATATATTAATTTAAATATGATAACTATTTTATTTACTTATGAGTCATTGGCATCGCTGGGTAGGGCCAGATTTATTGCCCATCGCTAACCGCCCTGGAGAGGATGGGGCCAGCTATAGTCCATGTACTGTTGGTAGATCCACAGTACCATTAAGGGAGACTTCCAGGAATTTGACCAAGCGACACAGAAGGAACATGATATGTTCCCAGGTCAAAGTCCGAAGACACACAACACCAGGTTCAAATCATAAGCTTTTGGGGTGACCCTTCGTCAGGTGAAGTGCTACTTCATTAGTTTGTTACACATCATAAGAAAGTGATAAAGTCAGGTGCAGCGTTCAGAAAGCTTGTGATTTCAAATAAATCTGTTGATCTATAACCTGGTGTCATCTGACTTCTGACTTTGTCCACCCCAATCCAACACCAGCACCTCCACTTCATATTTCCAGGTTAGCACAGTATGTGGCCTAGAGGGGATCTAGCAGGTGGTAGCATTCCCATGTGACTGCTGCCCCTGTCCTTCTGAATGGTAAAGACTGCAGATTCAGAAGGTGCTGTTGGAGGATCCTTGCTGAGTCACTGCAGTGCTTCTTGTAGATGGTACAGACTGCTGCCACTGTGCATTAGTGGTGAAGGGAGTACAGGGATGTAGTTTGGGTGCAAATCAAGGGGGCTGTTTTGTGTTCAATTGTATTAAACCTGATGTCAGTCTTTTGAAATAAAAAAAATTGTCATATGAAACTGTCCACAAAGTGAAATATTGGTTTTTGGCAGTTACCTCAGGATCAGACAAATGAAAGGAAGGTAGTCAAGTTGGGAAATGATATCAAAGTGGGAATAAAAGACATGTCCTGGAGACATCATAAGAAAGTGATAAAGTCTCAGACGAGACTCCTTCAGAAAAAAATTCTTCCCACTGCCAGCACTAACCCGTCTTCACCCTTTCCTGACCAAGATATGTATGTTATGTGTCGTTATTGAAAATGAAAATTAACATTTTGTCAACACTCCCCATGTCATCACTGTTGGTGAAATATAATTTCTAACCCAGACCCTTCTTTCACTTCACCCTGGTGCATTCTGTGTGGTTACAGCAGAGGCAGAGACAGGCTGCTCATACCCCTGCTCCCACTGCTCTGGATTTCAGTGTTGTACATTTACCAAATACTGTTTTGTTTTTACCAATGTAGAAGAAACCTAAACCTGAACCCTGACGGTTCACTTCCAGTCAGGAACAGATCATCGATTTACGCTAATCTCTGATTTGAAGCACATTTCCAGCATTCACCGTTGTTCTTCCTCTGACTCTAAACCCAGTTGGAAACGAGATTCTGTTTCATGTCTAGGAGCTCTGAGCCATGGAAGACAGTAGCTGGGACACATTTGTTACGCACAGCAGGATTAACTCACACCGTGGCTTGGCTGTCAGTGAAGAGAGACGTGAAAGAGTAAAGTGCTATCTGACCCCCTAGTGTGACCCTGAAGCTGTGTCCGGCTGAAGCTTTGTTGCTGCCGTATGATTCTCCCCCCACCACAACCCGAGATTGTCCTTTCTGAGCTCCAGGTGCTGTTCAACCCTCAGAACAAATACAACAATCTACAGTGATGTTTTTGAAGCAAAGCTGACTTATTTTACATTTCTCTAGTATATTAAACTCTAGTTCAATTTTAGAGGTTATAACCATCATCAGAAACAAACTGCAAATGTCAGAACAAAAGTATCAGAAAATTACAGCGCAGGTCAAGGCCTTTTTTTTATTTATTTGTGTGATGTGGGTATCGCTGGCTGGCCAGCAGTATTTGCCCTTGGCCCATCATGTTTGTATTGGAAGAAATAGAACTGCCCAGACTTTACAGCTTTCTGGACTCATCATTGAGATCAACAATTTCAGACTGTGAACTCTGCCCCAATTTGTTTACATTTCTTGTTTCAATTTGTTTCTGGGTCCACTGCACACCTGGCTCCAGGCACATCTTTTGTTTATTTGTTTCTTTTCCAGCCCTAACTCCATTCCCTGCGGCCTTGAAGGACTAATAACATTTCTGCAATTTAATCTCTCCTGCCTTCCCCCTGTGACATCTGCCTTTTTGCCCTTGTCTCACCACCACCTTGCTCAGAATCTGTTACATTTCTGGTCCCAGGCCTCTGTCAACTCACCGTGTCCCTGGGTCAGAGTTTTGAATTCTCTTCCTCCAGAGAGAATCTGAAATCGTTGTGGCTGCAGCTTTCCCCAGATTTTAATTTTGGAAACAAAAACCATGAAATTGTTTCAGAGTTGAGGTTTTTTTGAGCCTTAATCCACAATTTCACCCCTCTAGAGCTAAGCTGTGATTCTCCCACAGTCCAAAAATGCAAGTTAGGTGGATTGGCCACACTAAATTGTCCCTGAGTGTGCAGGTTGGGTGGTTGGGTTAGCTGCGGTAAATGTGGGGTTTTGTGGGAGTAGAGACAACAAGGTGCAGAGCTGGATGAACACAGCAGGCCAAGCAGAATCATCGGAGCAGAAAGGCTGATGTTTCGGGCCTAGACCCTTCATCAGTTTTCTGATGAAGGATCTAGGCCCGAAACGTCAGCCTTTCTGCTCCTATGATGCTGCTTGGCCAGTTGTGTTCATCCAGCTCTGCACCTTGTTGTCTCG